AGTGTTTTCATCGTATACGTACAATAAAAGTACATAATGAAAACCAACATAATTGCCAACACCAGTATCTGCTTTAATACATGCAGCTACAATGGTTACAGCTGGAGTATACTTATTAATTCGTTCATCTCCTTTAATTGAATATAGTTCAACAGTATTATTAATTTGTTTATGATTAGGTGCTATAACAACGGTATTTAGTTCATTAATTGGATTATTTCAACAAGATATTAAAAAAATTATAGCTTATTCTACTATGTCTCAATTAGGTATGATGGTAATTGCTATAGGATTATCTTCTTACAATGTGGCTATATTCCATTTAATAAATCATGCTTTCTATAAAGGTTTATTATTCCTAGGGGCAGGTGCAGTTATTCATGCTGTTGTAGATAATCAAGATTTAAGAAAATACGGAGGATTAAGAACATTCTTACCTTTAACATATACAGTTATATTAATAGCTAGTCTTAGTTTAGTAGCCTTCCCATTTATGACAGGATTTTATAGTAAAGATTTTATTTTAGAATCTGCATATGGTCAATATCATTTTAGTAGTATAAATGTTTATGTTATCGCCGTTATAGGTGCAATATTTACTACATTATATTCTGTAAAAGTTTTATATTTAACTTTCTTAACTAATCCTAATGGATCTATAAATTATTATAAAAATGCACATGAAAGTGATATTTTTATAAGTTTACCCTTAGTTGTATTAGCAGTATTTTCAATATACTTTGGATTTATAACTAAAGATATTTATATAGGTTTAGGTTCAGGTTTTTTTGTAGATAATAGTATATTTATACATCCTTTACATGAAATATTAATTGATACAGAATTTGGGGTACCTACTATATTTAAATTAATTCCTTTTGTATTAACTTTATCATTTTCAGCTATAGCAATAATATATCCTGAATTTGTTCCTAAAGCTGTAACAAACTTTAAGTTATCAAATTTAGGGTATTATATATTTGGTTTTTTTAATCAACGTTTTTTAATTGAATTCTTTTACAATAAATATATTGTAAATAAAGTGTTATTTTTAGGAGGTCAAACTACAAAAATTTTAGATAGAGGAAGTATAGAATGAATAGGACCTTATGGAATTTCAATGGTTTTAAACAAAGTAAGTAAAACTATTTCTAGTTTAAATAAAGGAGTTGTAACAGATTACGCTCTTTATATTTTAATAGGTGTATGTTTTTATTTATCTATATTTACATTCTTTTCGGTATTTTCTGATATAATATATAGTATTACAATAACTTGTATAATTACATTAATAATTTATGGTTCTTGAAGTTTTACATTTAGTGAAGAATTTTCTAATAAAGAAAATTTAAAATCTAGTATTTGAGTAGGACTGTGTAGCTGACCCCGGATTACATATATTTTTTTTCTATGCCAGCATAGGAGGAAACTTTAGAATAGTTATACTTTTTATATATTTTATAATTACATGATCTATAGGTATTATGGATCTAGATATAATTCGTTTAGATGAAGAAGAAATAATGAAAAATATTAGTGATAATACTACAGAAGCTTATAATAATAGCAATGAAAATAGAACTAATAATGATAATAGAATACTTGATAAGAATAACAGTGCGGTAGATGATAACATAAAAGATAGTGATAATGATTCATCAAATCTACCACCGATGCAAGCATTCATAGAAAATAATCTTGAATTAGGTTTATATCAGCAATTGAGTGAGCTTGAAGATAAGTGGTTAGGGTGAGAAAGAGAAGATTATGAAAAAACAGGAATATTACCTGAGGAGAATCACCATGATATAGTACCAAGAAGAAGACAAAAAGATGCAAAGATAGAACAAGAACTAATTAAAAAAATAGAAGAATTTAGATTATCCGAATCTCCAGGAGATATAGGGTCAAATCCAAAAAGAGACTTAGACACATTATATGATGATAATAATGAAGATGAAAATTAGTGCTTATTTCATAGTAGGCAGAAGTAAGGATGGCAGAAATACTACTAAAGATTAATTAAGGTAGTCCTCTTAATCATCCTAGCATAGATTGCGCTGTTTAGCTGTAGCACTAGCGTGTGAAATCAAACCACTCGTATACATAAAAATTAACTTTATACATGTAACAGTAGTGTTATGGCATCGTAAACAAGTACGCAGACACGTTATTATACTATGACTAGTACTCTAAATAAAAGCTTTAATTTTATTTAGTAATTTGCATAAGCTGCAGTGTATGTCCGCTTACCGGGTACATACGGCAATATTGGCCTTCCGATTCTAAAATCGAGATACATTTGTAAAAATTACGTCGTAATGTATTGGCTTTATAGCCTAAAATAAAAATAAAAAAAAAATGCGTTTACTTAAAAGTCATCCCTTTTTAAGATTGTTTAATGCTTATCTAATAGATCATTCACAACCAAGTAATATAAATTATTTATGAAATTTTGGTTCATTATTAGGTGTATGTTTAGGTATACAATTAGTTACGGGTATAACATTAGCTATGCATTATAACCCTAGTGTATTAGAAGCATTTAATTCTGTAGAGCATATAGCATAATGTGTTCTTTAAATCAGGGGGATTGCTGGAAACTCTTTTTAATTTATATTTAAATATGACAATCAGCAGGAAATCAAATATAAGAAAAACGGTGACAAACCTATGGTTTATTCTTATTAAGTGGTATCTTCAGAGACTATGTACCTGACATCTATTAATATAGATGATGATATAGTCCAATCTCTGCTGTAAAGCAGAGAAGTATAGATTATATATCTATGCCTTTTAGTAGGCATAATTTTATTATTGTTTATTTGTGTATCAGGTTCTAAAAATAAAATGGGATTTCGTAACTATACAACTTTAAGTAAAAAATCTGAGACGGAGATCGCTACGAAGTGTAGCGCAGTCAATAATAACAACTCTACAAATAGAGACTTTTTCTATTGATTTAGTGGATTTACTGATGCTGAAGGTAATTTTCTAGTAATAATAGATGGTAAATATATTAAATTAAGATTTAAGATAAATTTACATATTGACGATTTAGAAGTACTTTATACCATTAAATCTAATTTAGGTTTTGGTAGAGTTGTAAAGGAAAGTCACAGAAATAGTTGTTATTTTATTGTAGAAGATTCTTTAAGTATAAGTACGTTATGTGATATTTTTCATCATTATCCTCTTCATACTAGTAAAAAATTAGACTTTATTAGCTTTTATGAAGTTTTACTTATAAAAACTACTAGTAAAAGAATATCGGATGTGGATATGGCTAAAATTGTATCTATTAAAAACAGTATGAACTCTAAAAGAGAGATATTCACATATGGAATTTCGAAATCTCAAATTATAATAAACCCAAATTGATTTATAGGATTTATAGAGGGTGAAGGTACCTTCGGTATTAAAACAGGGTCTAGTTTGTATTTTCAAGTAGCACAGAAAAATACAAGTCAAGAATGTTTAAATGACATAACAAATTTTTTGTTAGACTTGTCAAGTAATGCTACTACAATACATAATGATTTTAAAATACTGCCTATAAACATTACAAATTCGATTAATGTAAGAACTAATGTAGTATCTTTAGTTATTGCTAACGTAGATGCTTTATACTATTACCTCTTACCATGTTTAGACTCATCTAAATTTTACTCTCGTAAAGCTATAGATTTCAAATTATGAAGAATGGCTTTATTAATAAAGATTTATGGATATTACTATACAACAGAAGGTAAAAATTTATTTTTAAATATTTCAGAGATTCTTAATAAGAGATATAGTACAAATTCGCTTACTGTAAGTGATATTAATAATATTATTAATAATATTACTGAAAGATTTAATAATATTATGCAAAAAGATTTTCTTTTCGATGTAAAACTTAATATACCACATACAGAAAATGTGCGTAGGTATAGTATAGCGAATAAATCTTTAAATCCTAAGATTGTATATATTTATAATGGTAATGAAATGGTATATGGCTCACCTTTTGCTTCGTACAGTACAGCACATAAAGCGTTAGGGTTAAAACCTAGTAGTAATACATGTAATCGTTATATTGATACAAATAGACTTTATAAAAATAAATATATTTTTACATCTAAACCCATAGATAGAGCGTCTAGGGATTAGATTATAGTAGATAATAATTTATTTTTAATATTTTTTGATTATGCGTGATGTAGAAAATGGATGATTAATTCGTTATTTACATAGTAATACAGCTTCAGCTTTCTTTTTTTTAGTATATTTACATATTGGAAGAGGTTTATATTATGGATCATACAGAGCTCCAAGAACTATGGCTTGAGTTATAGGTACAATTATACTTATTCTTATGATTGGTACAGGTTTCCTGGGTTACTTAAACATAGCCCAAAACGGTTCTAAATTGAAACCGACAACAATAATAACAACAACAACAAATACTTTAAGAACAAATATAAGTTTTAATAATAGTGTAAGAAAATTCTCCACAAATTCATATAATCATACTAAAATGAAATTAAATATTCTAGATATTAGATGTATTATTGAACCGAATTCTAGAATAAATGATTTCTTAGAATCTAAGAATCTTAATCCTGTATTTATTTATGATAAATTAGATCAAGATCTCATTAGAAGAAAAATAGCTGTAGAAACTAAGGGTTTAAGTGGAATTTATTTAATATTAAATAAAGAGACATTAGGGTTTTATGTGGGATCTGCCTCAACTAATAGATTTAATACGAAATTTTCTAAACATTTATTATATTGCAGTGGTAGTAAGATTTTGAAAAATTCAGTAAAAAAGTATGGTCTGGCTAATTTTTGTTTATTATTTTAGAATTATTTCCTGAGATAGTTAATCAAGAAAATAATAAGCAGTTATTAAATTTAGAAGATTTTATTTAAAATCTTTGCTACCTGATTATAATATTTTAACTGAAGCTGGGTCTAGTTTTGGATATAAACATACTGAAATTAGCCGTATAAAAATGAAATCAGAGTATTGTGAAGAACGTAGAAATCTTGTAATAGGAATGCTTTTGGCGAAGCAACCAAATAGTAGCATAGCTTGCGCAACGCACAGAAAGAAATTATCATCTGAAACTATTGAAGCTATGAGACACAGTGCATTAAATAGAGAAAAATTTCAATACTCTGATGAAGCATTATTAAATAGTAGCTTTAGCATAGCTTGCGCTGCAAAGCAGCGCAGCACAAAAAATTCTAAGCCTATAATTGTCAAGGAATTAAATGGTATTGTATATGGAGAATATAATAGTATCACTGAAACAGCTGAAGCTTTAAATTGTTCAGCTAAAACAGTATATAGGGCTTTAAAAAGTTCTAGTAAATTATTAAAAAAACGTTGAATAGTTATTTATGTGTAATGCTATATACATTGTACTAATTTCTATTATTGTTGTTTTGTTGTTGTTGTTTATAATATAATTTTTATTTGTTGTTAATCGTAGTCCTATAATTTTATAACTAATGTAATTTATGGAAAAAATATAGTTTATTATAGAATGACCCGACGGGGTCATTGAAGAAGTATAAGTATTTCTTTGGCAATGCTAGTGAAAACGATCAAAATATAGTAAAATATAAGAGATCGTCGGTTATCCATATAATCGCTACAGACTGGGTCACTGGTGGGTGGCTGAAATGTTGCTTAATGTACAGTCGACGCTTTTTATCTAGATTTTAGATAAATATAATAATCGAAATAAAAGATATTATAGCTTTTGTGTAGGCTGGTTGGCTGGCTGGCTACTATGAAATAAGAAGCAGCAGCAGTGAAACCACTACGTAGTAGCGATGGTAACATAGCTGTAGCGCAAGCTAGCACTGTGTTACGCGCTACTAAAAAGTAAGTTTTTGTATGTTTTACCTTATGGTCAAATGAGTTTATGAGGTGCTACAGTTATAACTAATCTTATAAGTGCTATACCATGAATTGGACAAGATATAGTTGAATTTGTATGGGAGGTTTCTCAGTTAATAATGCAACTTTAAATAGATTCTTTGCTTTACATTATTTATTACCTTTCATACTAGTTGCATTAGTGTTAGCTCATTTAATTGCAGTTCACGAATCTGCAGGTGCAAGTAATCCTTTAGGTGTTCCAAGTTATTACGATAGAATACCTTTTGCACCTTATTACTTATTCAAAGATTTAATAACAATATTTATTTTCTTCTATGTTTTAAGTATATTTGTGTTCTTTATGCCTAATGTTTTAGGAGATAGTGATAACTATATTCCAGCTAACCCTATGCAAACACCAGCAGCTATAGTGCCTGAATGATATTTATTACCATTCTATGCTATATTAAGATCTATCCCTAATAAATTATTAGGAGTTGTTGCAATGTTATTTGCTATCTTAATCATCATGATATTACCTGTTACAGATTTAGGTAGAACTAAAGGTTTACAATTTAGACCTATAAGTAAAATAGCTTTCTATATTTTTGTTACTAATTTCTTAATTTTAATGCAGTTAGGGGCTAAACATGTTGAAACTCCATTTATAGAGTTTGGACAAATAAGTACAGCATTATATTTTGCACATTTCTTAATTATAACACCTTTAATTAGTATAATAGAAAATACTTT